GCCACATCCCCAGCCCTCCTGTGATTCTTTTTTGTCCAAGTTTATCAGAAAATAAAAAATTGGGGTTGCTGCATGATCTGTGTAGAATAAAGTGGAGGAGCCGCTCTTGGTGGTACCCTTGTGGTTTTTTTTKTTTGTTTGTTTGTTTGTTTGTTTTGTTTTTGAAGAGAATGGAAACCCAAAACAACGAGCTTTCTGTTCCAACTACTTCCTCACACTGTGCTCCTCCACCAAGCCTTGGGTCTTCCCAAGCTGAACTCCTGCCTGTCTGTTTTCAATTATGTACTGAAAACAGAAACTAAAAAACCTTTACCAGAAAGAAGCTGTCGCCTTCTTAAGCGGCCCAAACAGAATCAAAACACCTGCCACAGACAGTGCTGTTCTCAGTACAAATCTCTCTTCTCAGGTATAGCTGTTTGATTTTCCCAGTGATGCTACAGTTGCCCTCATGGATGGAAAAGGGGCAAAACCAAGAGAAAGAAAGAAAGAGAAAAGGAAGGTTTTGTTAGCAAGGTGCTCTGGGCTGGAAATTCAGACATTTAAATATTTACAATGTGTACATCATCTTGGCTATGGAGGTGGTCTTTGGGGAGAGAAAAGAAGAGGCAGGAAATTAGAAGGGAAGGGGAAGTCTTTCCAATGACTCCATCCTGTTCTCATGTGTGGCCATGATGTTACCTAAACAAATATTCATAGCATGGGGAAGCCTTTGTTTTATTTGACTTATATTTTATCTGGTGTGTAAGGATTTGATGCAGATTTCATAGATCCTCCAACATGAATCTTAACAATGATAATGACTCACCCTTACTTGGTTAAGGAAGGACCCCCCCCACACACACACACACTTTTTTGGTACTGGGGATTGAACCCAGGGGAACTATACCCCGAGCCATATTCCCAGCCCTTTTTATTTTTTATTTGGAGATGTGGTCTTGCTAAATTGCTGAGGCTGGCCTCACACTTGGGATCCTCCTGCCCCAGCCTCCTGAGTCACTGAGGTTATAGTCATAGCCACAACACCCAGCTAAGAACCCTCTCTTAATAATAAGAATAACTAATTTAAGTACCTATTAAGTGCCAGACTCTCTAGTACACATTTAATATAGTGCATGACTTAAGCCCTTCCATTTTGTGAAAAGGGTTGATTATCCCCACTTTCCCTCAAAAGGAGAAAAGAATAGGTAACCTGCTTGAAGTTCCCCAATAAGAAAGGGAGGAAGCCATTTTTAGACTTGGGCAGAAGAAGCAGTCTCAATGTGCACCTCTGGTCACTCACTCTCTTAGGGGCTGCTCTGGAAGTGTTGGCTAATTCCCTGCTTAAGGTGATGAGCAAGGGTCACATTTGCTTTCACATGGTGGGTACATCCTGTGCTGGCTGACCCTCAGGCCTGCTGCTACTGACCTTATTCTATTTGGTTCCAGACGCACACACTTGAAGTAGCGATCATTCCCTACATGCCACAGTCTGGCTGGGCACAAATAACCTAGCCGCCACAAAGCACTTGTATGTTCAAACAGGAAACTTTATTGCCTGAACTCCACCAGCACTCCACGCACACTCCCCGGCTGTGTGTGCACTCAGTCTTGGAACTCCAAAGTAGTGGGCGCCCGAGGCAGCAAGCAGGGGTCTATATACAATAGAATACACAGCCTGTTTCAATCCAGGATCATCCTGTCACAGCAATTACAGCTTAACTTAATTATCATCTTAATGGCTCGCTGGCATCACCTCTTAACCACTCCTTTTGGCGCCACCCGACTCGCGGCTCTCAGCACCTACATTCAGCTTGACTCATGATTTTTCACTCTCACTGTGGGCATTTCCCTATTTCTTCCTTAAGTTCTCTCAAGGCGAAGAGAAGTGTTCTTTCAAACCTGTCACAGGGGGTGACCTTCCCATATGGATGGCAGCTCCCCTCCTGTCTCAGTGGTTTCTTGTGCTACTCCCCACACCCCCTGGCTTTCCCATCATCCTGTGGGAATGGCAATGCCAGTCAGCCTGGTCCTCGTGACATCTAAAGCATGATGGAAATGCTGCCTGGACAGAGGGCTATGCTTCATGATGATGAGCGTGTGCCTGACTAAGGCCTGGTTCACACTAGGTGCTAGAGGGCTGCACTCAGACTTGGATCCCTCCTCTAAGCTCCGTTCAGAGCCCAACTGCATATGTTTGTGCATGGGAAACCTGCAGAACTAAGTGTCATATCGCTTGGACTTTTGTTGCCCATATGAAGAAGTTGCTTCTGAAACAACAGCGTGGTGAACACAAGCCTGTAATTCTAGCTGCTCAGCAGGCTGAGGCAGGAGGATCACAAGTTCAAAGTCAGTCTTAGCAACTTAGCGAGACCCTGTCTGAAAATATAAAATGCTGGGGATGTGGCTCAGTGGTTAAGTTTGGTTTAATCCTTCGTACCAAAAAAAAAAAAAAGGAAGAAGAAGAAAAAGAAAGAAAAAAAGAAATACACCCAGGGCTGATGGGCCCATTAGATTCTTTGATAATGTGAATATCTGGAAGTCTGGCTGGGAGTGGGAAGTGAGAGGTGGGTGGGAGCTAAAAATTAGGGACAGCCTGTGTATCAGCGAGTCTCCTGGCAGTTTCCCTAGCTGAGGTGGTGCCGGGAGGGGTCTCAAGTTGTGCGGGATTGGCAGATTGGCTCAAATCAAGTTGACAGATTGGCTTGATGCGTTTTCTTTGGCTGTGAGACCTGGTAATGAGGAACCCTGTTAAACTGGTGCCTTCCCTCACAGACACCCAGGCTTCGTTCTTCCTAACACCCTGTCTACTGCAGCCTCGGGATCTAGAGTCAGGTGCATCAGCATTGGTGTTTGAATTCTCGATTGGCACCTGCCAGCTGTCTGACCTCTGTTATGTGCTTTAACCTTTCTCAGCCTGTTTTAACTCATCTGTAAAGTGCTATAATCATAACATTGCATTATATCATATTATATATTATAAAATTACATTATGTAAAATTATAAATTTATAATCTATTTGAAAGTATATGATCTCATGACAATATTTATATATAAAGTATTATATAACACCATTGTTATTCCATTCACACATCATATAATGTGTTATAACCTATTGTAAAGTTATCATGAGGCTTGGTGTATGTAGGTAAAGTGCTCAGTTCCTGATACAGCTCTACCTGAATTACTATTAATTGTTGAAATAATTAGCATTAGCTTGCAACCTATAAAACCAGGGCACATTTTTACAAATGTCCTGGTATGTATTGTTGTTTTGGAAGCAGTGAAGCCCATTAAATAATTAGGAAGGCAAAACCCAGTTGTAATTGGGAGAAGTATTATTGACATATAAAATTTTTTCTTGAAGATAGAAATTTCTTTTCAGAAGAACTTACACCCATATGCTACTTAATAGAGAAGGATATTAAATCTACTACCCACATGTCCTCTGTTTATCTCCAGATATTACTGACTTGGGTTTCTGTTGTTATGGGAGGCTGCAGGGGAGGGCGAGGCAGAAAGGGCTTCATTAAAATGCATGTCTGATGGGGGTTCCCACAGACTCTGGCCAGCTGGCCCAGCTCTCCAATGCTACTCCCACGTCCCTACTTGAACACTGTTCTGGGAGCTGGGTTTGGAAAAGAGGGAGGGAGCACCGTGCTGTCATCTACTGAGTTAGAATCCTTACCTATTGAGTCTACCTAGTGGTTATTATCTCCCCTGTTTTGCACATAGGATAACTAAAGCTCAAGAAATTACTCTCATGTTCAGGGTCATATGGCTAATCAAAAATCAAGGGACTTGAGAACAGGCAGTTGAGATCGGACTCCCATCCCTGGTCCTCAGTTTTTATTTTGGAGATGGGGAAGTGCGAGGGGTAGAGTCTAGGGCCTCACCTGTGCTAGGCAAGTGCTCTACTACTGAACCACATCCTCAGACTCTCAATTTTCTTATCTATTAGGTAGGTATAATAATGAACCCTAGTTCACAGGGTGAAAATCAGTGAGATTAACTATATAAAATCTTAACATATGCTTTTGTAAGTACTCAATACCTGTTAGTTGATGCTACTATTATAATTATCTTGTACTTTATTTCTCTCTTTTACATGACAGAGCCAACCAGTCTTTTACTCTGCTCTGACATACCGAAAAGCCTGGGCTCTGGTCACTGTGTACTTTCTGCTTGTGTTATTGTTGATTGTAGCAGAGAGCCCAAGGTGAAGGTGACTGTCATATAACTAACACCTTTTGGGTACAGCTGTGAGTAAAATCTCAGGAAAAGTCCAAGGTGGATCTTTTCCAGGTATGTTTTCAGCCAGCATGAAATGTGCATATATCTATATTGGCAGGCATCACGTTTTCAAAATATTGGAAAAGATATTCCTGTAGGTCTGGTTAGCAGCTACAAAATTTTATCTCATTTGCAAGACAGAAATCAGGGCCTCTTACCCTGACATACCCTGAAGCTGCCTGTACCACTCCCAGGAAGCTTGATTCTTGGAGAGAAGTTAATGGACAAGAATACCAAAGTTGACTTGTTATGCAGCAGCCATATGTCCTGTTGGTCATCTCTTTAAAAACTTAGAAATCACGTCTGACCTCCGTGGAGATGTTGGGGCTCCCCAAAGTGTGATGCAACTGGGGAGCTTCCAGGCTGAAGCCTTAGATATCACCAGATTGCCTCTGTTTGGTTTCTTTGTGACAAATAAAGATGGTGAGTTTAATCTGACTTTTTAGTTGCATCCCGAGGGCACTTTAGATTTTATTTTTTGGACAAAAGATGGATTACTTTGTGGAACCGTGGGGTTTTCCTCCTGGGGAGTTGGGAAGGAATATGTAGTGAATTGGGCTGCTGAAGATAAAACCTCCAGCCCAAAACTAGAGAAAACTCCAGTCACCAAGTTCACCTTGTCCTTTTCTTCAGGTATTTTCCTTTGTGATAAACCTGCATTTGAAACCAGTGATCTCTTCCAAGCATCTCCTCCATGAATAATGAACACGTTGTCTTTTCTCCTCTCCTAGGCCTAAACGGCAGCGGCAGAACAACTTTCCCATGTTTCCCTCTCCCAAAGCCTGGAACTTCAGAGGGGTAAGTGTCTGCCCTGGGCAGCTCCTGCTGTTAAAGGTCCTGTTCCAGATATGTACTCCAGCCTCCAGAGAGGTCACTGTGAGGTTTGATTAACTTATAAATTTCTACCAAAAAAGCATCTGTTTTACTCCCCATGGAGGTTATGTTTGCATCAGCTGTTGTAGTTGAAGTGGCCCAAAAAGCATTTGCTGACATTAGCCCACCCCGAACTTCATGGGATGTAGGAAATGTCTTGTGAAGAAGCTGAGAAGGGTTATGGTTGCTGGGGTGGGCATTGGTTGCTACCCTTGGAACCTGGAAGGAGCCCATGTGCAATGAAGGAAAAGAGAAGTGAGAAATGTGCGTTCTACTAATATGCAGATTTGTACTTTCATGGGGAACTTTGTTTTCCAGAAGTCTGAAGGCTTTAAACAGACTGGAAGGGAATCATTAAGTTCTCCTAATCACAGAACAGTAGTCTGTTATATTACCCTTGATATAACAGGGATGATAATGTGATCAGTCACAGTGCCAGGAGGTCCTGCTGTGCATTAGAATCAGTTCTAACACTGACCTGGGATGAGAGGGACCTTTGCTCTGTAGGGAAGGCTTTGAGCTATGTCACCTCTAGACCCTTGTGTGTGGTGTTCCTGGCCTGCACTGCACCCCTGTACTCCCCCTCATCCACTTCATCCACAGTGACTAAGCTCTGACATTACCTTTTCTGGGAAGTTATCACTGCCACCCTTCTGAATCTGAGCTTGAGTCCCCTCCCCACTGCATGTATCCTGCACTTTCTTATCATTATGTTTAGTTAGGACTTACTGAAATTCAAGATTGGAACCCCCAGGCAGGAGGTGCACAGATACCTTACCCCTCTCTTTTGTTACTACTATATCTCTGGGCTTGGCACAATTCCTGGCATATCCATACTTAATTAATTAGTTGGATGGATGGATGGGTAGATGGATGAATGAATGAATCTGTCTCTCACATCCATCTGACACAAACCCCACATGTTGCCTTCAGATTGGGTTTCAAGCCTTCTGTCTTTCAATTACTATTCTGACTGTTCACCCTGTAAAATGTTACATAGATCTCACTTGTTTTCTCCAGGTGTCTTATTAAAAATAAATGTAGATCACAGCACTATTTTAACTCAGACTACAGTGTACTTTTCATTGAGTACAAAGAGAAATGTGTTGACTTCTGAAATAGATGTTCGAGGCTTACTGAATGCAAGTCTTGTGCTTCCTAAGTTGTTTATGGTTTAATGGATAAGATCTCCATTTCTCAAAGTGTGTTCGGTYGAATGATCATAACCACTAAGTGAAAAAATGGCTTGTGTGGTCAAATAAATTTGGGACATTCTGAATGCACAAAATTAAATATATTTATCACTTCATGGCTTCTCAGAGACTTTGATGTGTTGATGTGCAGGGAGACTTCACAAGGAGAGTTGATAGAATTTGCAAGAATGCCCAAAATCATGGCCCATGAAACCTTTTACTGACCCAACAGTCTGTACACACTTTGGAAGCTGATATGTGTAGTCAATTTTGGACAATAGAGAAATTGGATCTCCTGTGAGCAGATTAGTCTTTTTGAAGACTTTGTTTCCGGTGGTCTCCTGATCCACCCTCCCTTCAGTGTTGCTCTCCTAATTGAAGAGTGGTCATTGGCTGAGGGAAGTGAATATATATATAGGGCAACAAGCCACCCAAGTTTACTTAGGGACTATCCTGGTTTTAAGTCTTGCACCTGGGGAAACCCCTTGGTCCCAGGCTCTCTGGGATAATTGATTACCCTACCTGTGTCCTTGGACTTCTTCTACTGTTTCTTCTTAAAAAAAGTTTTAAAGGGGCTGAGGCTGTGGCTCAGTGGTAGAACGCTTGCCTAGCACGTGTTAGGCCCTGGGTTCCATCCTCAGCACCACATAAAAATAAATAAAATAAAGGTATTGTGTCCAACTACAACTAAAAATAATATTTTAAAAAGTTTTATAAATTTTCAGCATGATTCTTGTTTATAGAATTTGCTGCTCAAAGGAACCAATTAGGAATATACATGTCTTGAGTGACACTCTGTTTGCCTTGTCTTTGCCAAATCTAAGATAATAGTGATATTTTAAATTAGTAATGCACTGCAGGGTGGGGGACAAAACCTGCCCTGAGCTAACTGCAACCAAGTAGGTATCCAAATCTAATGCAGTATCAACTTCAAGTTCCTATCAGCCCTTACTTAAATTCTTAGCCCACTCATAAGAGTGTCCCACAGCATTACATTAACTTGTCTGAATATAGTGCATTAGGTAGCTGGGTCAGCTGTGTGGTTTGCTTGGTCTCATGTTCTTTCTTTGATTTCTTCTGGACCTGGGGCTTTTTGTAAAGCTAGACAAACTGGCATCAAGATACACCAGAGGGAGAGGCTTGGGGCCTGGTCGACTGCCAGATTCCTCTGTGGCTAAATCAGTCTCTCTCCACCTTGGAGTAGAATCCTCAGTGACATGATGGGAGTGGAAGGGAACTCAGCCAAGTGGAAACACCCTCACTCCCAGCCAGGACACTCTTCATCATCGTCATTATGGTAATTGAAATTGACGAAGGACCCAGGCTGCCAGGATGAGGATGTTTGAGGCATCCTCTAGCCAATGCGTTTTCTGTAATGAAATTTGACTCTCAGGTCTGTTAGACAGAGCTGTGCATGCTGTTCTAGGGCAGGGTACACTTTCTGTGAACACTTTGTTTTATTCTTGACTTAGAAAGGAAGCTTTTAGAATTTCTGTACTAGCAGCTTTTCCATGTTTATGTACCTGGCAGAGAAACACATTATATTATAAGCATTTGCAATCCTGTTCCTCTTTAGCTTCTGAAGAGAAAGCATTCTGTGTTTGTTGACTCAGGTCCTGGGCATTTGTGGATCTGGGGGGTGGGGCCCAGGACACAGTGGTGAGCAATGAAGTGGAAAGCCATGAGGAGCAGGAATCATGTTGTTCTAGATGAGACATTTGGGGAAAAGAGAGATTTCAGAATAATGTTAAAGAAGTTCTTATAGAGTGGATTGTATTGTTACCCTCCACCTGCCCCCAAACCCTTCCCTGGAAATGCTCTCTTTAGCATTGGTCCTTGAAGCATTAGGAGTTGCATTGGGGATTTTCCTTTTGTTGCTGGAGGGTTTGGCTGTGCAGAGGCACAGGAAGGACCAGTGATGCTTGGATGACATGTCCCTTCTACTTCCCAAGTGGTTTAGCCCTTTCCCAGGTTGCCATTGATGTTGACTATATTCAGCCCTTCCTTCTCATGCTGAGCTAAGGAGGCAGAGGTCCTAGGTGTTTCTGATCTTCTAGGGCCTCCCCAGGCAAGGGGTGGTGCTGTGCCTATCTATGACCAGACCTGTGGATGCTGTAGGTAGATTCGTTCATGGAGAGAAGTTGAGAGCATGGTTTAGGTTGGGGTAATCTTGGTAGGAACATTTAAACCAGAGTAAAACCAGAACAGAATGGGGAAGAATGAGAAGATCCAGGAGTTGGGACCCTGGGGGTGGGGTGTCTTGCTCCTAGATGCTCTTCTATCAGGTACATTCTGCACATCTGGTCCCCATCTGGATGGGGAAGTGCTGAGCTCAGAATTTCCATCCTTCCTTATGAAAATGTTTTATACAGCTCCTCCTGTTGAGAGAGAGAGAGAGAGAGAGAGAGAGAGAGAGAGAGAGAGAGAGAGGGAGGGAGGGAGGGAGGGAGGGAGACTGACTCAAGGAGGGAACTCATACTAGGACTTGAAATTCTCAAGGATAAAGCTCCAGCCATTGCCCTGTAAGTGAACTAGAAAATGCTTAGCAGGGACCTACTGTGTGCAAAGTATTGTTTTAGTACTGGGGCTGAACTTTTAGTGACTTTCTTATTCTCTAGTGGCTGGTCTTTAGTTTTGCCTGTGCTATTTGGGAAGAAATTTCTGGACTTGGACTTAGAAGGGCATACCATTGTAGCCCTGGCCTTTTAATTTTCCTTATCTAAATGAGGAAAACAAGGTCCAGTGTATTAGTCAGATCCTTTGATTATGAGTTATAAAATCTCGGTTAAAACTAGCTCAAGTAAAGAAGGGAATTGATTGCCCTTGTAAACTGAGGTGAACCAAGGTTGCAGCTTTCAGGTACAGCTGCATCCAGGGATGCATTTCCTTTCTCAGCTTTGTTTCTCTCTGGGTTTGCTCATATTTTTTCCTACTACATGTGAACTTTTTTTTTTGTTGTTGTTGTTTTGTTTTCGTTTTTTGGAATGACAGGATGGTCATGAAGAACCACGTTTCCAGGAAAAAAGTGAAAAATTTTTGCTACCAGGGTCTACATTCAAAATCCCAGTAAAAGACTCTGATTGCCCTGGCTTGGATCATGTAGCTATGCTTTGACCAGTCACTGTGATCAGAGGATGGGGTAATATGATTAGAAAGGTCTTTGTAATATGCTTCCTCCATGGTAGGGAGCCAGATGGACAGGGTTTTTCAATTGGCAGTTCCTCTAGAACCACTTGAAGTGGGGAAGAAGCAGTTGTTCAAAGGAAAACTTGATGCTGTTATTGAAAAGGAGTCTCATTCCTTGACAAAGAGGGGAAAATTACAACCACTCCTGAGGGCTACTCAGAGTGAGAGTTCAGGAGAACTTGTCTTCTGGCAGTAGATTCTTTCTCCATGAAGTTCTGATTAGTCCCATGCCCCTTGTTGGGAAAGAAGCTGGAAAACATTCAGCATATCTGAATTTCTTGAAGGCTAGACTGAGGTGCTCTAAATTCACAACTTGTTAGAGTGACAGAGTCTCTGCTGCTCAAAATTCACCAGGCCAGGTCAGTGTTTATTGTGACCCCTCCATGCTGCAGAATGCTGAATTTGTACATTTACTTCTGTTTATTGAACATTCTTCAGGCCAGACTGTGGCAGCCCTGCATGGAAGAGAGCACAGTTATCCCTTAATATTTGTGGTGTTGGGGTTGGAGGGTTTGGTTCTAGGAGCCCGGTGGATATCAAAGTTCT